GGGGTCCCAGGGCCAGAAGGAGGGCCGGCTGGGGAGATAGGGGGAGCCCCGCGGAGCCCCCTGCGGGCTGGGGTGGGGGACTGGGGACGGGCAGGGGTCCTGAAAGGCTAGGGCTGGGGGGAGAGGGGCGCGGACCGTTATGTGCGCCTGGCCCAGGATGCCAGCGCTTAGAGCTCCTTGGGAGGCCCGGGAGGGGGCCTCGTCCCTGACAGGAAATGGGGCCGAGATGGAACGCCTGGAGAGTGGAAGGAGGAGGACCTGGGAGACCGGGATACTGGGGCCCAATCAGGCCAGGCAGGAGGCACCCTGATCCCTGGACACCGTGATAGGAGATGGGGGCACACTCCTGCAGGAGGGAGAAACTTGGCGCATCAATCACAGCAGGCACTTCTCATCCCCCTCCCACCTATTAACCAGTAACTGCAGCTGCATCCGCCTTAGGCAGCCCCAGGAAACTCGCCCCTTGACACAGATGGGGAAATTGAGGCACAGAGCAGTTGGGTAATTTGACCAGGACTAGTAAAATGACTTAAACAGCTCTTTGGACTGTGCTCCTAATACAGACCCAGAAGAGAGAGTACTTGGGTGTGTGTGTGGGGGGAGGGGGCGGAGTAGAAATCGGAGGTGACCAGAGGAGGGAATCTGCAGGCAAACAAGACGAAACCTTCAAGAAATGGGTGCTGCCTGGGACAGGAAATCCCAGCAAGGAAGGAGTTAAAGAAGGGATGCCAGATGACTCCTGGATCTGACCTCCCCCCACCAGCCCTTCCCAAAGATTCCCAGAGTAGAGAAATGGGACTGGGTGCCCACGCACAAACACACAGGAAACAGCCTGGGATGTCAGAGAGGGGAAGACAGAGCCAAGGGGAGGCGCCAAGGCACTGACCACGGGGGTCTGGTCTTGGGCTGTGAGGCAGCCGACTCCAGGGTGGGGGCAGAGTTTGGAAGACAGGCGGAGGGGGTGTGGGGGGGTGACGTGCTCGCGGTCATGCCTGCTCCTGTCTTCTGAGCTAGCAAGCCAGTGTCCACTGTGTGCTCTGTGCTTGACCATGACACAAGGGCCTAGGGAGCACTCCCCATGCCAAGCTCCCTAAAGGACCCCTGGAGAGGGCATCAAATCCCCCCATGTCACAGGACAACACTGAGGCTCAGAGATAGGAAGTGACTTGTCCCAAGCCACCTAGTGACAAGAGACAAGGAGGGATGCATGCTAGGGCTATAGGGAGAGGAGTGGGGAATCAGAGCCAGGAACACAGCCCTGGCCTGAAGAAACCCCACCAACTAGCCCCCTGAGGCTGGAGGTGGAGGGACGTTAGGGGTTAGGGACATAAGGAACTAAGATGGGGTGGGCTCTAAGCTGGCAGCTGATCCCATTCCAAACAAACGCCCCAGCCCCTGCTAGGGCAAGGGCCTGGGCTGGGGCTGCTCTGGGGGGTTGAGGGGGTGGGGTGGGGGTGGGGGTTGGGTCTCACACCCTTGCTCACTGCCAGGCCTCCCAGCCCAGCATCCAGAGCCCAGCCCTCCAGAGCCAGAGCCCCAGGCCCCCGAAGGGTCCCAGGCTGGAACAGAGGGGCCCCCCAGCCCTGAGGCATCTCGCAGTCCTGCACGGGGGGCCTACCTGCAGAGCCTGGAGCCCAGCAGCCGCCGATGGTTGCTGGGTGGGGCCAAGCCACCGGAGGAGGCCACTTTGGGGCCTGGGGCACCTGGCAGCGGGGAGCCTGCTGGAGAGATCTGGTATAACCCCATCCCCGAGGAGGATCCCAGACCCGTGGCACTTCAGTCCCCAGGGCCACAGCCAGACTTGGCTGAGTCAGAGGGCCCAGCCCAACAAGGTGAGCGCAGCCTCATCCACCCACCCCCCACCCACTCCCACCCAAGCTCCCCAAGATGACCAGGCCTCAGCCCCATCCCAAGCCCAGGTTTCTGAACCCTGAGGTCTGCTGTTCCCACAGGTGTGGCCCCTTCCAGTCCCCCAACCAAAGCCTCACGCACCAAGTCCCCAGGCCCTGCCAGGCGCCTCTCTATGAAAATGAAGAAGCTGCCGGAGCTACGGCGCCGCCTGAGCCTGCGGGGCACCCGAGCTGGCCGTGAGCGCGAGAGGGCCGCCCCCACCGGCTCTGTCATTAGCCGTTACCACCTGGACAGCAGCGTGGGGACCCCGGGGCGGGCAGCCGTGGCGGGGAGTACTAGGGGCCCTCAGGCTGGGTACCTCAGTGATGGTGACTCACCAGAACGCCCAGTGGGTCCCCCATCGCCCACCACCTTCCGGCCCTACGAGGTGGGCCCATCAGCCCGGGCACCCCCAGCCGCACTCTGGGGCCGCCTCAGCCTGCACCTGTATGGGCTGGGGGGGCTGCGGCCATCACCGGGGGCCACCCCTAGAGACCTCTGCTGCCTGCTGCAGGTGGATGGAGTGGCCCGGGCCCGCACAGGACCGCTGCGTGGGGGGCCCGACTTCCTGCGTCTAGACCACACCTTCCACCTGGAACTCGAGGCTGCCCGGCTGCTGCGGGCCCTGGTGCTGGCATGGGACCCTGGTGTGCGGCGGCACAGGCCCTGTGCCCAGGGCACTGTGCTGCTGCCCACAGTTTTCCGAGGTAGGATGCATGACTGGGGGAGGGGCAGTAGGGCACAGAGTGCCCTTCCCATAGAGTGCCCAGGGCACTAAGCCCAGGGTGGGGCTGTGGCTTGGAGTAGGAAGCCAGGGCACAGGAGCCTGTGTGGGTAAACCCCACTCAGGTCCTCTTGTGTCTTCAGGGTGCCAGGCCCAGCAGCTGGCTGTGCGCCTAGAGCCCCAGGGGCTGCTATATGCCAAGCTGACCCTGTCCGAGCAGCAGGAAGCACCAGACACAGCTGAACCCCGTGTCTTCGGGCTGCCCCTGCCGCTGCTGGTGGAGCGGGAGCAGCCCCCGGGCCAGGTGCCCCTCATCATCCAGAAGTGTGTTGGGCAGATCGAGCGCCGAGGGCTGCGGGTGAGCCTCTTGCCCCATCCCAGTGGGTCCCCAGACCTCAGATCCACTCCCCAGGACACCCAGTGTACAGAGGCCAGGCCTTCCCCCAAACCCTGCCTGGGATGCTCCCAGCTGCAACCCCAGCCTAGACAAGGGCAGGAGGTGCCCAGGCCAGAACCTATGGGTCATCCACCCATTTAGTGACACAGGATCGCAGCGCTTCTGGAGTTCAGAGTCTGATCAGGGAAAAGACGACTCCCAATAGCTCACAATGGCTGGGACAAGAGTGAGGAAGCTGGAAGAGCTTAAAACAGGACTTCACCTGCTGGCCATGGTAGTCAGGGAAGGCATCCTGGAGGAGGTAACAAGTGAGCTGAGGAGGAGTCAGGACAAGAGATCCAAGCAGAGGGTTTACAGGACCAGGTTGTCTAGGTGGGGACCCCATGACAGGTGTCAGAGGAGCAGGAAGGCAGCCAGTGAGGCTACAGCTAACCCCCAACCTCTCAGCCCAATGCCACTCTGGCCCACACCTCCAGTCCCCGCCCCACTGGGCCCTGGTCAGTCTGTGGCCCTAACAAGAAGACATCCCCTCTCTGCTCCCACCCTCAGGTCGTGGGGCTATACCGTCTGTGTGGCTCAGCAGCCGTGAAGAAAGAGCTTCGGGATGCCTTTGAGCGGGACAGTGCAGCTGTCTGCCTCTCTGAGGACTTGTACCCCGATATCAATGTCATTACTGGTCAGAATGCCCATCCCTCCCCTGCCTGCTCCCCATTCAACCCTCACCTCAAGGCAGTCCCTGTGGCCCCTCTGGGACCTCACCTGTTCTATCTGGCCTTGTTTTCACCTTCCTGCACCTGTCCTCCTCCTCTTCCCCCCTCTCAGCCCCAGTTGACCCCTCCAGCCTGAGAAGCCAGGGATGCTCTGACCAGAGTGGGTCCTGTGTCCACAGGCATCCTTAAGGATTATCTTCGGGAGTTGCCCACCCCACTCATCACCCAGCCCCTCTATCAAGTGGTCCTGGAGGCCATGGCCCAAGGGCCCCCAAGCAGGGCTCCCCTCAGTGCAGAGGGCACCCGTGGGCTCCTCAGCTGCCTACCGGATGTTGAGAGGGTGAGTTGGGCCCAGTGGGAATGGGTGGGACAGGGAATGAATTGACATTAGTGGAACATTTCACCCATGCCTGGGCTGGTGATAGCCATGAGCTTGTGGCATCATCAACCCTAGAAAGTAGATGCTATTAGTATCCCCACTTCATAGATGTGGAAACTGAGGCCCAAAGCAGCTGAGTGAGTTATGCAAGGTTGCACAGCCAGGATATATCAAAAACTCAGACTGAACACATGTCTGTCTAACTACCACAAGGGAAGTTCCTGGCTATGGGATCCTGAACAAGTCCCGACCCTCTCTGTGCTTCAATACCCTCATTTATAAAATTGAATGAATGCGTCCTTCCTAACACACAAAGGAGTGGGTTCAAGTCCAAGCTTTGCCATTCCAAAGCTGTTGTCTTTTGTCTCCCCTCTAGCAAATTGGGATCATAATACTAATACCTAATGGTTAGGTCTTAGCTTGGTCATCTCCCAACTATGAGACCTTGAACCTCAGCTTCCGCATTTAAGCCGCCTTAGTCTCCCTCAGATGTGACAGGGGACCGGCTTTGGCCCTCTAACGCCCTCCCAACTCTCCTCAGGCCACGCTGACACTTCTCCTAGACCATCTGCGCCTCGTCTCTTCCTTCCATGCCCACAACCGCATGACCGCGCAGAACCTGGCCGTGTGCTTCGGTCCCGTGCTGCTGCCAGCGCGCCAGGCCCCCACCAGGTCCCGTATCCGCAGCTCTGGCCCGGGCCTTGCCAACGCAGTGGACTTCAAGCGCCACATCGAAGTGCTGCACTACCTGCTACAGGCCTGGCCAGGTGAGTCCGCCCCTGGCCGGTGCCGCCAATCCGGGCCAGGCCACTGCGGTGATGCTTTTTTGGGCGGCCAATCAGAGTCTTGAATTTCAAGCAGGCCACACCCCCTTATCAGAGTAAACCGTTATCTAGTTACCTCAGCAACCAGCTCGATCCAGCCAATCCATGCTTGACGTGGTCAGAGGCCCTGCCTAAGGTTGCCTGAGCAACCAGCTCAGCCAATGAAATCGTGATCCGGTCACAGGCCTTGCCTTTTGACAAGCTAGTCAGGCTGGCTACTAGAACCACCAGTCAGAAACCTGGTTGCCGCCGCTGTGCATGATGTCATCACAAGCCTTCCCTCTCTGCAGATCCCCACAGGTCCCCAGAGGCTCCGGACCTCGCCCCATACCTGCGGCCCAAACGACAGCCACCGCTGCACTTGCCGCTGGCGGGCCCAGAAGTAGTGACTCGGCCCCGCGGCCGGGGTGGTCCTGAGAGCCCTCCGAGCAACCGCTATGCCGGCGACTGGAGCGTTTGCGGGAGGGACTTCCTGCCCTGTGGGCGGGACTTCCTGTCCAGTCCGGACTACGACCATGTGACGGGCAGCGACAGCGAAGACGAAGACGAGGCAGGCGAGCAGAGGGGCGCCACTGACTTCGAAGACGATTTCGAGGCGCCCTTCAACCCGCACCTGAACCTCAAAGACTTTGATGCCCTCATCCTGGACCTGGAGAGAGAGCTCTCCAAGCAGATCAACGTGTGCCTCTGAGCCGGGTGGGACCTGTTACTAAGGGCCGGGCTCCTGGTTGCTAAGACAGTGCCCTGACTACCTAGAGGGACCACACATGTCGCTCAGGCGTAGCTCCCGGTTGCTGAAGAGTTGCCTGGCGACCCGCCAGTCAGTGAAGAGATACTGAGAATCATTTCTCATTTCCAGTGCTAAATATTTAGGCACTGGTTACCAAGGCCCAGGAACTGGGGATTCTTGGGACCGGTTGTTGTGGCCATCCTTTGTGAGCAGCAAGGGCTTCTCCTGCTTGCTGAGCTGGCCTCTCTTGCCTCCCCTTGGCTAAGGAAACACCAGTTACTGTGAGCATCACCCTGGGATAGTGAGACATTCCCAGTCCTCTTGCTGCTGCCAACCAAATCAGTATTAGCTTTGAGCACTGCAATCTGCTTCTCCCTCAGAGGGCCAGAGGACTATCAGGAAGTGCTGTTTGGGGCAGGGTAGGGGGCAGCCCCTATCCTAGGCTCTAGCAGGATAGGGACAGCTTGGGGCTTACAGAAAAACAGATGGTTTCCCCACTCTTTTCCAGGGAAAACCCCACAATTGCCTCAAACCAGCAAATGAAGATCGCAGAGTCTGGCCCTTCCCCTCCCCAATTCTTCCTCCCCATCCCCAAAGAAACTGAGCACTTATAAGGCCTCCCTTTCGGAGGGGCCCCACCTGAACTGTCAGGCGGGGGGCACTTTGGTACGGAACATATTTATTGCCTCCGTGCGTGTGTGTGTGTGTCTGTGTGTGTCTGTGTGTGATGAGTGTGCATGGACACGTCTGGAGCGGGCACGTGGGGCTCTTTCAGGGACCACAGAGGGGGAAAGGATTCACAAGGCCGGGTACCCTGAAATCCCTAGTACTAGTGCCTCAGTGGGTCCTAGAGTTCCAGTGGGAGAGTAGGGTCCCCTCCTGTCTCCCCCCACCCTTTTCCCTCATTTCCATCTTTGTGGACAATAAATCAATATGCACAGGTTCTGGAATGAGTACCTGGGCCCACGTGGACCAGAGGTGGTTTATTCAGTGTGGAAGAGGAGAGAGAAAGGGCACAACTGGGCCCGTAGAAAAAAAAGACCCCCGAGCTCTCTAGCACTGCCAGGGAGCCTCCCTGAGACCTGACCCCTCCAACCCCTCCCTGTCATTAGGGAGGGATGTAGGATCATTGGGCCTCATGGGATGGACCTAGGGCAGGCAAGGATGAGACTCCAGACCAGCTATGCACAGTCCAGGAATAGCACCCATGAGGCCCTACATGGCAATGGAGCCATCGCGGAAGTCCGTCCTCCCAATGAGGATGTTAACCACGACTGGGTGGCCATCTCGGCACTGCTGCTGGGCATCACGTAGCACCTTGACCACCTGATCCTTATTCTCCCGTGAGAGCAGCAAACCCTGGGCCCCCAGACCCATGGCTGCCTTGTGATAATCTAAAAGGGGACGTCAAGTCAGATGGTGGCAGGGGCCCAGCCCACCAGAGAAACACACACCCAGCCAGGCCAGAAATAGCTTCCCTCCTCCCCACCCTGCCCAAGTCCCTCACCAGTGTAGGCCAGGCCACAGGCCACATTGCTGCCCAGACTGGGCACCTGCTCCCGAGAAATCTGGGTCCAGCCAGCATCATTCCCTATCAAGGCCATCACTGGGATCTGCAGGGAGAGGATGAAGCTAGGTTGCAGCATTCAGCCCCCAGGCTTGGCCAGCCAGAGGACAGAGGCAGGACCTCTGCCAGAGAGAAGTAACTTCTTCCCCAGCCCAGCCCTGATGACATCTCCCAGAACCCCAGGTTTCCCCTGGGGCAGCCCAGTCACCTTGTGTCTGACGAAGGTGTCAAATTCGATGAGGCTGTACCCAAAAGCTCCGTCCCCAAACAGGCACCAGACCTGAGATGGGACAGGGAATGAATGAGGTGGAGCATGGCCCAGAAAGCAGCAAGCCTCCTGCCTCCAGTGTCCCAACTCACCTCAGCATCTGGCCGGCACAGTTTGGCCCCAAGTGCAAATCCTGCACCAACCCCCAGAGTCCCAAAGGCCCCTAGGAGAACCAAGAGCAGGTGGCTGTGAAGGGGGATGGATGGTGCAAGCTGCCCCGGGCGTAGGCCTTTCCTTACCAGGATCAAGCCAGCGCAGGGGGCCACGGGGCTGCACCAAGTGGGCAGCAGTGCCCACAAAGTCCCCGCCATCCACCACCAGAATCGAGTTGTCGGGCAGAGTTTCCTCCACCAGCTGTAGCACCCGCACAGGGTTCAGGTGCTGGGCTACGGATATCTCTGCCTTCTCCCTGCAATGGAGCAATGCAGGTCAGCAGAGCCTGCCTGGACTGCCCCACCCC